AGGGACAGGGACAGCAAGGGCAACCGCTCTGAGGTGGGAACACTCCTGGCACATTTGAGGAGCAGTGTGAAGGGCAGTGTGGCTCACTTTGCTCCACACGTGGAGAAGGAGGTGGTCAGAGAGATCTAGGGGCCAGGTCGCCAATGGCCTTAGAACTCATTACGAGGACTTTAGCTTTTCTGTACCAATTGGGAAATTATTAGTGGGTATTGAACAAAGTGCCTTCACCTGATTTTTATTTTAACAGGATCCTTTGCTGCTCTATTGAGGAAGGACTCTAGGGAAGCAATGTGGAAGAAGCAATCCAATTAGAAAGTTCTAAGTGATGGCTCACTCTGTGGTAGCAGTTGAGCTGGATGAGCCAATAGGATGGACTTGATATGGAGTGTGAGAGAGAGGGGACACGGGAGGGTGACTCCAAAGTTTCTGGCATGAACAAATGGAATAATGACTTGCTATTTTTACTGAAACAGGGAAGACTGAGAACAGGGTTATTTTTAATGGGGGAGATGAAAGGAGGATCTTAGTTTTAGACATGCTGAGTTTGAAATGGGCGTCAACATTAAATGAAGATCAGACAGAGGTCCAGGATGGAGACATAATTTGGAAATCATCAACATATAAATAATACATAAAACCCAGAGACAGCAGACATTACCAAGAATGAGTATAGATTCTAAAGAGAATATGTCCAAGGACTAGATGAAAAGGAACCAACACAGAAAACAGAGAGTTCAGATCTCCGCAGAGTAAGGAAATAGTATTCTGGATATAAGAAAAAGAAGATTTTAGAGGGTGGTCAACTGTTTAATGCTGCTAATATGTCAAACAAATGAGTTCTAAGAAGTAACCACTGATTTAGTCATGAGGGAGGTCATTGATGACTTTGATAGTGTAAAGGAAAAACTCAGTTTTCTACCCATTAGGGAAAAACCCAGTTCTTTCCTACTGTGTGTTGCTTCCCTGTGAGTCTCCTTTGCTACTCACACAAAACATTTCACTTCTGTTCAACAGATGTGTGGAGGTTTTCCCCACACCACCAGGCAGTTTTTAGATACCAGCATTCAGCTAAATTCTGACACCATCTACCCAAAGACAACATCAGATTCCACAGGATAAGGGCTCAGTCCCACAAGACGGCCCTCCCTTTCCTACACACACTTCAGGCACCAGTCACAAGCCCAAGTTATCACCTCTGCTCCTGACCAACCAGCTATGGATTAGAGATGCCAGTGACCCCCTTCTTGGACTTCAGGTGCCAACCACAAGTCCAGGTTGTTACCTACACTTCTGACCAACTGGCTATAAATCAGAGGTTCCTTCGACTCCCTCCTCGGGTTTGATTAATTCGCTAGAACGGCTCACAGAATTCAGGGAAACACTTGCTTACATTTACCAGTTTCCTAAGGGATATAGATGAACATCTAGATGGAAGAGATGTATAGGGCAAGGTATGCGGGAAGGGGCATGGGGCTTGCACTACCTGTCCAGGTATGCCACTCTCCCAGCACCTCCACGTGTGCACTGACCTGGAAGCTCTGAACTCCATACTTTTGTGATTTTACGGCAGCCTCATCACATAGGCATGATCATTCATTAACTCCATTTTCAACCCTTCTCCCTTCTCGAGAGAATGAGGGCAGGGCTGAAAATTCCAGGCTTCTAATCATGACTTTCCCATGACCAGCCCTCATCCAGGAGCCCATCCAGAGTTGCCTCATTCCAACAAAAGGTACTCCTGTCATCCAGGAAATTACAAAGGTTTCAGGAGCTCTGTGTCAGGAACTGGGGCCCAAGACCAATATTAGAACAAGAGATGCTCCTAGTGTTCTTGTCACTTAGGAAAGTTCAAGGGTTTTAGGAGCTCTGTGCCAGGAATGTGGGCAGAGACCATTATATATTTTCTATTATCTCACAGATAGGAATAGTTTTAATGGATCAAAGGTTGAGAAAGATCTGATTGGAGGGGTTCAAGTGGGAGATGAGAAATTGGAGGAAAAAAACTATGAATAACACTTTTAAGCAGGTTTGTTGTAAGGGGAAAGAGCAAGATGACGTGGCAATGGGCCAGGAGGCACCGGCCAGCCTGCTGACAGTCACATGCTCTGAGTGTGAGCGTTAGCTGTGTATAGAGTCGAGGACCTCAAACGACCTCGCCTTTGGTAGACATAGATTTTTGAAATGTTTGTCATTGATGTATTGTGCCAAAAAGAGAAAGATTAATCAAGACAGTCTTAATGTACAGATATTCTTCCCTTTTTCACTTCTTACTTTACATCCAGTATTTTCTCTAGATTTTCCTTTGAAAGCTAGTTTTTAACTGCCTTGCCTATGAGTCTTCTACATTTTCATTAGTTGTTTACATGCCAGCCTCCCATTCTAGCCTAACCTTACTGAGAAGCATCATATTATACTTGTCTTTACATATCCGTCTCTGACACGTGGCAGATACTCCGTAAATGCTTTTTGAATGAATGACCATTATGTTCCATACTGGCATATGATGTGTTTGATGTAAAGGTCAGTGTCCTGAAGTTTGCTGTTCATTTCTGAATAGAGATTCTGTTTGGTCACATTGTTTTCCGTAGAGTTCCTCTGGAGCAGGCAGAGTGAGGACAGGCTCTCTGCAGCTCGGTAGAACATCCGGTGGGAATTTATCTTTGAAAAGGACAAAGCGAAAAGCACCTTCCCCACCCTCCAAAACAGCCCTGCAACAAAGTGATGAAAATAGTCACGTGACTGGTAATGTTACTTTTCCCATTAACATTAGTGTTGTGTTTTCTTTAATATAGACAATAGAAATGATACAGGTTATAAATCACATCTTTTTATTAAATAATATTAGTACTTAAACTTAGGCTTTTAATTAATTGATTTTAATAGTAGTGCTTAGATAGTGCCTGATTGTTCTCACTACCTTTGAAAAATCTGCATGACAAAATTTAAAACTGCACAGCTCCATTATCCTAAAATGAGCATGTTATAATTTGTGAGTCTATTCAGAAAGATACTGCCTTTCCAGGACTGACTACATGTAGGACTGGGAATCAAATTAGATTTTAGCTGTATCACAGCTAGACAAGTACAGTGGCTTCTAATAAGGTTAGGGCTATCTTTTTCTGAATTATATAAAAATGACTTAAGGTACTAAGGAATTGTTTCATTGGTGAATGTGACTTGCTCAGAAGTTGTGTTTCTTCTGTCTTCTAGCCCTGCAGTCGGTACCTGCAATTCCTACAGACAGTGTTTTAGAAGCAAACTCTTCTGAGGGCCTGTCCAGCCCAGGTCTGACACCTCTGTTCCACATCATGTAACCACTGAGAAAGAACTTCCAGGACAGTTGAGGAATGAATCTAGTCGTAATGCTCTGTATATGAAGGAGATACAGATGCTTTGTCTTCATTTCCCACATTATATAGTATGAAGTGAAAAATATTCCCCTCCCTGAGTTCAGAGTGTGAAACACAGAAATCAAAATTTTAGTTCTGCGATGGCACCTTGAGTGTTTTTCCTACTAGGTCTCCTGCTTTTCCTTATGCAGTGTCAGGTTGCCATTTATTAATCTTCTCCCCAAGAGGAATGACACATCTTAGTTAGCAATGTACCTTGGTGTGTTCAGAAGAAAACTTACATGAAGGTGTTAAGCATCATTCTTTACCCAACTGTTGTAGGTGTGAATTCATATTGTCCTAATCTGATGGTAAAAATTTATTATGAAATATTTTCTACTATATGGTTTTATTTTGGATTCTCCCCAAATAAGTGAAATTTCAGTAAAAATCTAATACTGTTCCTTAATATTTTTAATAATAGCTATTTAGTAGCTATAAGTATGATAAAATTTCTTAATCGTTAGGCTTAAAGTTAGGTATAAATGAATATGACAGACTAATAATGTTTAATCAAAATAGAATATTACTATGTCAGTACTTTAGCACAGAAATAATTTGATAGGTATAAAAATTGCTTAATATAACTACCTCATTTTTATAATTCACATTCACAAATACAGAAAAACTCAGAAGCACCCAAATGCTCCTGAATCTTTAATCCTTAGGTGATATTTAGGAATTTAAGATTTTGATACAGAATTCCCCTTTCCTCTGTGATTAAAAACACTATCATTAGGTAACTAGTAATGATTTTTCTCAAATCTTACCCAGAATAATATCAATGATACCATTCAGTTTCACAAAGGAAATTTATTAAATAATATCGAACTATATAGATGAAATGAGAAGATTTCGGAAGTATTAGAGAAAAGTGGCTGCTATTCAAACTTTGCTTTATAGCTGTTTTTCTTCCTTTTTTTCCCCTTTTACCTCTTCTTCTTTAATGCATGGCTAATTGTGAGTTAACATATCTAATTTCTTGTGAAATGCTTCTTGGTCTCTGCTTGCTTAATTCTGTTTTCTAAGTGCCATTTCCACAGATTTTACTTCTTTGGCAGAATCCTCCCTTGGCCCTGGGCTCCCCGGTCACAAACAGTGCGCTGTGCCCCAGCTGCTGGCCGAAGCCCCTCTCTCGGAGTGCCCTGGAACGCCCGAGGTAGCTGCTGCATCTCTGCCATGTAGGTGACCTGGCCTTTCCTGCCTGCTGCTTTGTTTAAGACAGATTGAGATGTCATCACATTTAGATTTGGTTACTTGTTGATTCCCTGTGTAAAAATGTCTCATAAAAAAAATAGTAGTTTCTGCCTTGTCACTTGAAATTCTTGGAGTTTGATGTTTTCCCTAATCACATAGTGAAGGAATATGGCAACATGTAAGATGATAAAATCAGTGGCTCTGAAGGATTTCAGCTTCTCTTCTATTTAGCTTTCTGCTTTTTGGCAAAACTGTTTGAACTTTATTATTTTCAACATATAACTATATAAATATAAAAGAATACATATATATTTTTTCTTTATTGAACTACTCTTTTGTTATCTAGGCATGGCTTATTTTCTATAGTATTGCTTTTGATTGGGATTTTTATTTTTAAGTGATCGAAATTGTTTTGTTACCATATGGCAAAACTTCATAGTTAGGTAATATTTGAATTCTATCATAAATAATTTGACTCAATTTTTCAGTGACCCAGAAAAAGTCCTTATCACCTCAAACCAGTTGTTTAAAATCAGTATACTATCATACACTCGTTAAAGGAATGAAAAATTATGTGGCCAGTTTGGGAAATACTTTAGCAGGTTTGTTTTTTTTAAAATAAGGATTCATTTTCTATATGACCCAGAAATCCCACTCCTAAGACTTCTCAAGAAAAGTGAAAACGAATGTGCATACAAAAACCTGCATGTGAATTATTATAGAATTTATGTAATTGCCAAAAATGGGAAACAACCTAATGTCCCTAAACTGAGGAATGGATAAACAAAATGTAGTTTGTCCATATGTTGGAATACTACCACCTAGCCAAAAGAAGGAACAAATAACTAATACATGCAACAACATGGCTAAATACATTGTTAAATGAAGGAAGCTAGACTTAAATGGCTAGATGCTGTATGATTTCATTTATATGACATTCTTGCAAAGGCATAACTATAGGGATAATTGCTGCCAGGGGCTGGGGTTAGAGAGAGGAGTTGATTACCAAGGAGCCTGGGGGATTTTGGAAGCTGACGGAATTGTTCTACACCTTGATTGTGGTGGTGGTCACAGAAAGATAGATAGATAGATAGATGTCAAAACTGGACATTCCAAAATGTATTCCAAAAATGATGAATCTTACTGAAATTATACCTCAGTTTTTAAAAATGAAAGAGAAAACAACTCTGTCAGAAATTACAGCAGTGTCTGACACAGTGAACACTTTTTTGAATAAATGAATTTTTTTTTTAAAGTTCACCAGAATAGATTTAATCTAATATGGTTCTGTTTTAGCAAAGAGTAGTATCTGTCAAACAATTCTGCCCTTTGACCGTCTCCAGGAAAAATACACAAGATGTCCCAAAAGGCTTAGTGAAATTTTAAGCTTTAATAACTTATAAGATGCTACAAACTAAGTTTAATTATTTAAATTTCTTTTACACATATTATATTTTGTGAATTTTAAATAATTAATTTTATTTTTTGTTTCAGTCAATTTTGCAGTCTTTAGAGGGACTGAAAAAATTAAGATATATTCAAATTATATTAGAAAGCTAAGTAAGTGTAAAAGAAACTTCAACAATTACAATTTCAAATGATTTTTTATAATTTTCTAAACATATTTTGGAAGTTGTTATATTGTACAGCTACACTAAAGTTTTGGATACTCTGTTCTTTGAAAGTGAATTCTCTTCCCTTAGAACATGTGAAGCTGAAATATGATAGTTGTGATCTAACATTTGTGAAAATTACTCACTGTTCACAGCCCCCACTTCATTTTGTTGTTATTGCTGTAGTTCTAAAACTTGGCCATAGTATAAGTCTGTTAACACATACAAAACAAACTTGATTTAATATTTTTTAAAGCTTGGAAAAAATCTGTACTAGTCAAACAACAAAGTGTGAAAGTGCTCTTGGTTAGAATTTTTAAAAAGAATCACAGCCTTTTCTAAGACTTTTAATGACAGGAATGCAGTTCAAATATATATATTTTAAAAAGCCTGTCTGATGCTTATAACGACTAAGTTATAAAACCCCAGAAAAATAATTTGAAAAGATTTCTGAAACATGTGACTCATTCTTCATACTTTGAGACCAGTTTCTCAGTGAGGACCTCATACTTAAAGAAAGTTGAGGACCTCGACTTTTTAAAGAAAAGTTGTGTATCTATATAAAACACATGTGATGGTAAAGAGAGAAATAGGGAGAAAGAAAGATCAATAATTTGCTAAATGTTACCTCAGTTAATATAATTTCCAAAAGAGCTTAATATATACCAAGGAGCCATCTATAAAACATACTTGCATCTAAACCATAATGGCCTTTCATTTTCCCTTGATACCCAGTTTTCGAATTATGTAAATATACTCTTACTGTACAGATGTAATATGCTATTGTAAAGGCATAATATTGTACATTGGCATCAAAATAACTATTTCATGTCATGATAAAGCAAGATTTATATATATAAGTATATACATATATACATATATATATATATATTTTTTTTTTTTTTTTTTTGCGGTATGCGGGCCTCTCACTGTTGTGACCTCTCCCGTTGCGGAGCACAGGCTCCGGCCGCGCAAGCTCAGCGGCCATGGCTCACGGGCCCAGCCGCTCCGCGGCATGTGGGATCTTCCTGGACCGGGACACAAACCCGTGTCCCCCTGCATCGGCAGGCGGACTCTCAACCACTGCGCCACCAGGGAAGCCCTCTTTTTTTTTTTATCAATTATTTTTGGCTGCGTTGGGTCTTCGTTGCTGCGCATGGGCTTTCTTTAGTTGTGTCGAGCGGGGGCTACTCTTTGTTGTGGCGTTTGGGCTTCTCATTGCAGTGGCTTCTCTTGTCGTGGAGCACAGGCTCTAGGTACGTGGGCTCAGTAGTTGTGGCACATGGGCTCGAGTGCAGGCTCAGTAGTTGCAGCACATGGGCTTAGCTGCTCTGCGGCACGTGGGATCTTCCCGGACCAGGGCTCAAACCCATGTCCCCGGCATTGGCAGGTGGATTCTTAACCACTGCACCACCAGGGAGCCCTTAAAGTCAAATTCTTTAATGTTTTTTCTAAGTAATCTGTTTTTTAATTTACAATAAAAATGTCATTAAAATTCCCCGTATTTATTAAAAAGCACAAATAGCATACTTTTCTGTCTATATGCTTAAAGATACAATTAAATACATTTTAAGTACTTCACATATTCTTCAAATACGTTAAACTTTTTTGTTAAATTTTGTAGATGTGCTGATCACTATCATCCAGTGCTATACTACCCTTTTTACCCCTCTATTGTGGTAAAATTAAACTTTGTTCAGCTGCTGTTAATGTAAGTGGAAGTGTTGAATTATACTTATTTATTATTTATTTATTTTTGGCTGCGTTGGGTCTTCGTTGCTGCACGTGGGCTTTTCTCATTGCGGTGCACGGGCTTCTCATTGCGGCGGCTTCTCGTTGTGGAGCTAAGTGCGTGGGCTTCAGTAGTTGTAGCACGTGGGCTCAGTATTTGTGGCTCACGGGCTCTAGAGCACAGGCTCAGTAGTGGTGGCACACGGGCTTAGTTGTTCCACGGCATGTGGGATCTTCCCGGACCAGGGCTCAAACCCATGTCCTCTGCACTGGCAGGCGGATTCTTAACCACTGCACCACCAGGGAAGCCCTGAATTGTATTTAAATAAGCAAAGATCCAGAACCTCATTCTTTGGTTTAAATTTACTTTCACAGCTAGTGTGGACACCAATTGCTTAGGATGTCTCCTCTTTTACCCTGTTGGCCATTTGGTGTTAGTTCTAAGAAATTATAATAAAACAATTTCATTCAATGAAATATTAACCACAGCTATTGAAGAGAGTCATACACACACATATACTGATATGGGAAGACCTTTAAGACATAGTTAAGTGGAGGAAAAAAACGTTAGTGAAAAACATCAGGTATATTATGCTTCCATTTATATTAAATAAACCAAGAATAGAGAGAAAGAAGGAAATGTACGTATATCTGCTTAAACGGTATATGTTCATTATACCTTCTGATAATATAGAGGAAAAAAACTGTTAAGGGAAGTTGCCTGAGAATCAAACTGAGTAGGAGTTAAAATTAATTTTCGTTTCATAATACTTATTCTATTTGTATATTAAAAATTATATTAAGCATCTAAGTAAATGGCTTTTCACCTTGGTTGCACACTAGAATCACCTGAAAGAACCTTAAAAAAAATTCTTGGTCCCTCCCTTCAGAGATTCTGATTTAACAGATGTGGATTAGAGGTGAGCACCAGTATTTTTAAAAGATGCTCAGATAATTCTCAATCGTAGTTAGTACTGATAATTTCTGAGTCAAACTTTATAAGTACACTTGGGGCCAATCTAAAAATCTCGTGTTCTTTTTGTTTACATTTAAAGCCATTGCATCGAGGTAAAAATCATTTAAACTGAAAGATACATTCTTAAATGAAATATATAACTTGAAGCTTATGAGCTTAAATAACCTTTTGTTTTTTTTTTACCATAAATAAAACCGAGACAGCATATTATTTTTAGAAATGTATGTCTGAGATAATCTGATTATATATTAACATAATTATTCACCATTAGAAAAGTATTTTACTATTAGCTTTGAATCAGAATTTAAAAGAGTCGAACTAATTATTATTTTAAAAATTCCTTCCTTGCCAGGATTGCACAGGATGAATGAGGCAAATTAATATTTAGGATTATATCTTCATTTCTTTGTAGCTGGAATAAGCTCTGATTACAGCCTTGAAGAGATAGATGAAAAGCAAGAACTGAGTGAAGTGCCTAAAGATGAGGCTGAAAATACTTCTCTGAAGTCGCAAGACATTCCTACTGTATCTACTGATATAATAAATACACTGAAAAATGATCCTGACTCAGCCCTTGGCAGTGATACTGGAGAGTCCTCACAAAACTCCAAAGAAGAAAAACAAGGAACTAAAAACACAGATGGACAGTAAGTAGTCTGTATGCCAGACGTGGTGGTGGTGGTTTGTTTAATTGATACTAGTCTTCTGAAATGTAGAACTGATATTTTAAACACAAGTAGAGTCATTTCTTTAGCTTATACTTTATCCCTTTTACAACCATTTAAAAAAATGTTTATTCATAAAGTATCAATTTACATGTGATTGTTTTTAAATAAAATCAAATCCAGCAGTTCTGGTATCCCTGTGGCAGATCAACCATAACATGTAGTTATTTTGTATGAAGATTAGCATTTTTGTTTGTGTTGCGTTTGTTTTGCCTATTACCTATTTGGCCTAAATGAAATATTTAATTTTCAATTTTCACCAAATGCTCCTGAAGAATTTTTACTAACTGCTATATAAAACAATTCTGCCTCTTAGAATATGATGTTAAATCACTAATATTATTTTTATAGTCAACTTTATGAAGCAGAGAATGCACCTACCTTCCCCTTGGTTCTAGGAATCGAAAGTTATAGTAAAGTATACTTACATTCTCTTAGAAATGCCACACTATGAATAAAGATGAAATCAAGTAGGCAAAATAAACCATTTTATCAAAGTTTTATTATAATTTGCATGGGATTGTCTCCAAATTAATCTCTTGTATCACCAAAAAAAACCCCAGTGAAGTCAGTTCACATCCTGACTTGCCACAGGGTGACCTTGCCAGATGCAAGGAAAATGTCTATGAGAGTACATTTCATTTAGTTCCTTTTTCTTTAGAAGATAATAATTGATAATAACAAAAAGACACTGTCTTGGGGAAAGTGTCCATTTTACCAAGCTTCTTACATCTTTCTTTGTAACAGGGTCACCATATGAAAGCTAATGTTTCATAGCAGCATTTCCTCTCATTTGTATTCTTTCTTTGCTATTAAATTTCTAATATTTGGCAGAAAAAGATGATTATTCCAGTCCATCTGTCTTTGGAAATTATTGCCTGTTTTATCATCGTGTATGTGTGTGTGTGTGTTTCAACAGTATCAATATATAACATACAATATCATATTTTACAGAGGACCACACATTATGGTGTGTAATTCAAGCAACAAAGCGAGGGTAGTTGACAGTGTAAGAAACCTGAGGTCACCGGGCCCAAACCAGGAGAATGGTGAGTTCTATAAACACTAATAGCCAACACTTTCATAGCACTTGCTATGTGCCAAGGACCTTTCTTAAATACTTTATATATATTAACTCATTTAATCTTGTATATTAACTCATTTATGGGTATTATTACTTTAGTCCCATCTTACAGAAATAGAGCCACAAAGACATTATGTAAATCACCTGAGGTCCCACAGTTAGTAAGTGGTGAACCTCAAATTTGAACTCAGGCAGTATGTGTTCAATACGTGTTGATTCCAAAATGTGCTTCTAACTACCATGTGTTCTAATGTTGTTGTTAAATCTTAGAGGTTATCTAACCTAGATCTTGGATCTTAAAGATGTATACTCTGTGTATATTTATGATCTACTTCTCTTTTTTCCTTCTACTGACTCCCTAACCTAAGCCTGTTTTATTTCATAGTCGGGTTGCTATACCTAAGGTGAAACTTTTCTGCTTGATTTTTCAGGCCCAAACCATCTAATTATGTAATAGTGCTTACCAGTATTTCCCACTCCCCGCCCCCCCAATCAAGACAGTTTATTCTCTTTCTCACGATATATTTCACTCAGTTCTGTCATTAGGCCTATGCTCATTTTTATCTTTGCCTGGAAAATAATTTTCCACCTATCTTCACTCATTCAACTATTATCCAAATCCTGCCACTTTACTTACTCTGTTACTTGATTACTGGAAGCCATGTAGTTCTCTGTTCTCGACTACTCAATTGGATTGAACAGTCTTTGATCATAGAAATTATATCTGCTACTTTGAATTCCTTATAGCAGAATACTGAGATATGGTTAAAATATATATTTAGGATTGAATTTCAGAAAAATGATACTATACAAATAGAAGATACAAGGAATACACAATGTTTTTGTTTTGTTTTGTTTTTCTTTTTGCGGTACGCGGGCCTCTCACTGTTGTGGCCTCTCCCGTTGCGGAGCACAGGCTCTGGACGCGCAGGCTCAGCGGCCATGGCTCACGGGCCCAGCCGCTCCGCGGCATGTGGGATCTTCCCACTGTGCCACCAGGGAAGCCCTACACAATGGTATTTTAAGGGGGTATGAAGAAAGTGCTTATTCTCATAGTCCAGTCTATTATGTTAATATATAAAACTAGGTTAAGATTCATAGAAAACATGGGCCCAGCCGCTCCGCAGCATGTGGGATCTTCCCGGACTGGGGCACGAACTCGTGTCCCCTGCATCGGCAGGCGACCTCTCAACCACTGCGCCACCAGGGAAGCCCTACACAATGGTATTTTAAGGGGGTATGAAGAAAGTGCTTATTCTCATAGTCCAGTCTATTATGTTAATATATAAAACTAGGTTAAGATTCATAGAAAACATAGGGATATATATATATATATATATATATATATATATATATAAAACATGGATTATCCCAATGTCACAAACAAGATGGACAGATGGATAGATATAGATATGTCATTTTATATATGTGGTATGTGTTGGTTAATTTGAATATATATGGCTCTGACTCATTTTCCTCATGGTCAATACCATCCTGAGATACAAGTGTACAACTTATATACTTGTACATGATTTCCCCCTTTTTTCTTCTTGACTCAGTTTTTTGTAACATACGCTATGGCGGCAGTAGCATTTCTATTGAGAAGTCATGATTTAAAAGCTGTTTACTTCTTTTAAAAATCATAGTCAAATTAAATCATTTTTACTAAGATTTTGGCATCATATTAGTGCTAGGGTCACAAGTACATTTCCGTAATACCTTTATTTTGATTTGCACTTGATTTACAATGACCCTTGTCAACTCTAGGTGATTTTTAAAAAAATTTGTTATCCTTAAACTAGTTTTATTCTCCTTTTCTCCTTTTTTTTTTTTTTTTAACCTACCCTGTATACTTATCTAAATCATCCTTTCATCAGGTTGTTCATGTTGGTGTCAGTGTTGAGTAGGGGGAAGTACAGTATAGTACAAAATATACCTTCTCCCTCTACTGGCCATTCTTGAAAAATGGCCTGTACATTCATTGACGTTTCATTGGCATTATCATCGATATGTATAGGAGGATGGACTAGATAATGAATTCAGGAGTGATTCTAGGTTTCCAGGCCTGACAGTCATTGAAAATTTTGAAATTGTGAAATTTTGATGAGAAATTCAGTTAGATAATGGTGAAGTAGGTGTAACCCACAGAAAATGTGAAAAATAGAAACTTAGAGTTCTAAAACCTGTAAATTAGGGTTTGTTAGAGGGGATTTAATTTAAAATATATTTTTTATGTTGATTTACCTTCTTTTGGAAAATGTTTCCATTCTGCAACTGGGATATACCTATATTCAGTGGAAAATGAAAAATTAGAAAGAGAAAAGGAAATACATTTAGGCTCATTTTCTGGTGCCAGGACCATTTCTTAAATTCTTTTGTGTTCATATCAGCATTGAGAGTACCACTTTTCATATAGATATTAAAAACACTTAAGAACCAAGTAAATAAGAACACAGGCAGAGATGTGTCTCTTCTGTGGTTCCTAATTACGTGTCCTTAATTTTATAAATCACAAAAGTTAATAATTATTAGTCACTGAGAAAAGAAATCACTTGAATAGACAATATGTATTCGAATAACCAGTTGCATTTTATGTGGGAAGAATAAAAATTAATTCCATTTTTAAATTATATATGTAATATAGGAACCTTGCAACATAATAGAAAATATAACCACCATGATCAAATAATTGTGCAGTTAGGCAGGGTTTAAAAAAATAAAGATTTAAAAAAAAACTGTATCCAAATTTACCTGGCAACATGATTTTTTTTGCATGCATGCATATCTTTCTTTTTTCTTTTTTTCTTTTTTCACAGAGGACCCATTTTAAATAGCTCATGATATATTTTAGGCAGTGAACTTTATCTTATAGATGAAAGTGAGTGATTATAAAACTATAGAGAAATACCTGACATCCTTTCACAATTTGACTTCCAAGGCTCACATTTCACTTGTGCTGTGCAAACAATCATATCTGAAAGGAGAGGCCACTGAGGATTTTGAAGATGAGGGCTAGCTGGTTATTCAGAAGAAATGACTCTTCATGGCATTTGACTGGAGAAGCACAGTATATAAATCACTTGGCTTAGTACAAGACACGTGGTACACATTCATAAGCCTGTGTTTCCTTCCAGATGTCTCATTCCAACTCTTTGCCATCATGTTGTTGGCTGGCAACTGTTGCTTTGTTAACCTAGACACTGGAAAATGATTTTTGTTTTCAGGAGGTCTGAATTAAAATTAAGAGGAAAGGTAGTGCTGGGGAGAGGGAAGTTGTTTTCTCTACCTGGATTCAGACATGAGAAAAATAGTTATTTTTTCTCACAGGGAAAAATCAAAACCCACATGATTGTTTTTATGTAGTTGAAATCACCCATATTTTGACTGAAAACAAAGTCCTCTAAAAGTATTTAGCAAGGACACCTAATTAATAAGACAATCAACTTAGGTTCTGTTTTCACTTCAACTCTTAAAGGTAAGGTTTTGTTGTCTTCCTTAATTAAAACTGAGAGCATTTGCTGGGATTGTTTCCCTTTTAATGTTAGGTATAAAATGTAAATATACTAGGGATTTTAGAAAAGACAGAGAATCAAAATGGAAAAAAAGAATAAAAACATTTTTTTAATTTGTCAATGTCTTTTGTCATTCTTAACAATGACTGAAATATAGTCTTTATTTAAAAGAAAAATCATAGCTATCTTCTATGAGTACTTGTTTTGGGCAATACACTATCCTAATAAGCATGTTACATAAATGATATATATAATACATGTTTTTTTTTACATCTGAGCAAACTGAGGCTCAAAGAGGGTAAGTATTATGATGTGGCCATACAGGTTGTAATTAGTCAAGCTGATTCCAGATTCAGGTCTCTATGATATCAAAGCCCATGCTGTTTTCTCTGTATGCCACTACCTGTATAATTTTTATATAATTGGTAGCTGAAAATTATCTATAGAATTCAAATCAATCTGTTTCAGTTTGGGAGAGGCAGGCATTGAAAACTTGAGGTTTTCTATTTTTTTCATATACTTTATGATATTTTTTCCTCTCAGTAGATCAAAATGAAATAATTGTCATTCCAACAAACACAGAAGACAGTATGAAAAATGGAATGAGGAGAGCAGAAATCAGTGTAGCAGGTGTTGCCAAAAGTAACAGTGTGGACGTGGAAGTTGACAGACTATCAAACTATCAGGCATATAAAACTGATACTGCTAGAAGTTACAATGAAAATCATCTTGCTGCTTCATCAGCACCAGATCAAAAACTGATTCAACCTAGTGCAGAAAAGACAAAAATGCAAGATGCAGCAATTCAGACAATCCCTTCCTGTGACAGTTTTGATGGGAATCACCAAGATCATAATTTGTCTGATGTCAAAGTTGATGAAAGTGTGCAAACTTCAAGTAACAACAAATCAACTCTACACTCATCTTTAAGCCCACAAGATTCTTTAGATACCTCAAGAGAATTTGGGAGTCAGGGCCCCCTAATTATGTATACAGAAGAGCAACTCACCATAAAAGATCCAATTTGTGCACATGGTAATGATGATCTTTTGCCTCCTATAGATGGGACTGATAAAAATTCAACAGCTTCTTATATAAAGAATTATCCATTTTACAGACAAGACTATAATCCCAAGCCAAAACCTTCAAATGAAATTACAAGAGAGTACATACCCAAAATTGGGATGACTACTTACAAAATAGTGCCTCCCAGATCCCTAGAAATATTGAAAGATTGGGAATCGGAAACCATAGGGTATAAAAATGATCAGGAGATAAATACTTTAGGAGAAAAGGACACTCATGGGAACGTGAAAGTAACTGCAATCCAAACAGAAGATCCTGTTATTTCTGAAAGCCCAAAGGAGCCAGAAGCAGACCTGAAGCCAAAGCCTACCCTGAGAACAGAGCATCAGGTGCAAAGTGAGGAGAGTTTTACCCACAGCACAACGTCGAATCCTCTGAAACCTACTCCCAAAATGACGAGAGATACTGGCACAGCTCCTTTTGTGCCAAATTTGGAAGATATAAACAGTATTTTGGAGTCAAAACTTAAATCTCGGATTTCAAATCCCCACTCCAAACCAAGTTCTTTTTTCTTGCAGATGCAAAAAAGAGTTTCAGGTCATTATGTGACATCTGCAGCTGCCAAGAGTGTTCAAGCTGCCCCGAATCCTACGCCAAAGGAACTAATAAAGAAAGAGGTGGAAAGGGATACAATACCTCCTCCAGAGAAAGCTCTTTCTCCCTTAAGTAAAACAACTCACTCTTCTCCACAGCCACACATTCAAAACACTGATGATGACAGCAATCAGAAGCCTGCTGAAACCTCTCCCCCTCCCATAGCCCCCAAACCTGTTCCTCTTCCCAAGAGTCAGCTAGCAACACTTAACCTGAAGACTCTGAAAACTTTTGGTGCCCCTCGACCATACTCCAGCTCTGCTCCTTCACCGTTTGCCCTCGCTGTGGTGAAACGGTCACAGTCTTTCAGCAAAGGTCGTACAGGGTCACGCAGTGAGGAGGTCAGAGGTGCATCTGCCCGAGCTCCAACTGACACAGACGGAGGGAAGATTCCTTCCGTAAATACGTTTGTGGACATCCCACAGCCAGGTGTGAAAGATAAGGTAAATGTAACCTTTTTAAAAGTAAGGGATTCTTATACAACATGGTTTCAACGGGGTTGACAAAGCATATCGGTTTGTTTGTGTGTTACTTAACTCTGAATTCATAATCTACTATCAAGCTACTGTAGGAAGAAAAGAGTAGTAATACACAGAATCTGATTACTGATTCTCAGAGTTATTATAATTCATATCACTCGATCAGATATTACTATAAGATCATCATTATGTAATTGTATCATTAGGAAATATTTAAATTTAAAGCTTCTTTGCTCCTACATTTGTATAGTGTACTAGTTTATAGTTCTGACTCTCTAGTTTTCTGTGTTTTGCTTATCTCAATTTGTTTATAACTTTTCTGGATGGTCTGGTTGACTTTATTTTCTTTTCCAATTCTCCATACTGGCAAAATAGTTTTAATTACATAAAAACATAAGCAGTATCAAAGACTAGATAAAATAACCAAACATCTCTCAGCTCTGTATTTTCTATCATATACACTCAACCTGAGCTTATCAAACATTGTTATATGTAATTTAAACTAAAACCAGAGTTTAAATAGGTAATTTTCTTAATTTCCCATTTTGTTAATTCAGTGTCAACTTTCCAGTTATACATATGTTGAGCAAAATATCACTTAACCACCATCTAACCTTAATGGTGTACAAAAAAGGGGTTTGTTGACTTCGTGTTTGATCAGCTAATGGTATAATTTGCTAGATTCAAGTAGTATAGTCAGGAAGAAATTCACAGTATGAATTATGATAATCCCCATGCAATTTTAAAAAAATACATTGTGTACTTTTACTCTGATAGTGTTTAAAGAATACTTTCATATTTGTATGACAGTTCCAGAAGCATTTTATACTATTTTTTCAAACACTCCCAGAGTAACAGAACATTAACCATATTGCCAAGTAAAGACTTTTCCATAATTTTAAAGCAATGTTTACCTTGAAAAATATTTCTTCATATATTTTCACATTTATGTTTATTACTTTGATATAATATCAGGAAGAGATATATGATGCAGAGATTAATTCTTTACTTGGGAATAAAGCCTGAGTTTTTTCCTTAGAATGGAATACCATTTCTAAACACCAGAAGCTTGATTTATATAATACAGTTTTTGAGCCATTGCCTGAGTTCTGTTTAGCTCATCTTTTATAAAGATACTCATCTGGCAGTTCGAAAAAGACATTTTTAAGATTGTTTGAATACAGTTGCCAGTTAAATCAGTTACTAAATATTCCTTCCTAAGAAGTTTAATTAAATTTTTGATTCTTAAATTTGGAAATTTCTAATATTTATTTTTAGTCTCATGAGAAAAATAAAGAAAACATGGCCATCAGTTAGCCCCTGTGACTTCCAGAAACACAAAATAAGCTGTTAAATAGTCACTAATATTCCCTTATTAGAAAATACATTAGGTTCAACAAGTATGAAATTACCAACATTTGTCCATTTGTACCATCAAAAATAATTCCACAACACTAATACATTGGAACTATGAAAATTTTTTTTTTTTTGTCTGAAATTTTTATTATTACTTTGGCTCTTCTAGCCAACTCCACTGGAGAAATCAGCATTATTTTATTTACTCAAGGACATTAAAATTACCACTGCATTTGTGAAACAAAAAGAGGTATCACTTTCCTTCCTTAGCCTCCTGAGTTCAAGATGAGGGAAAGTAATGCCCTCATCTTCCAGCTGAGCTCTGGCAGCAGAGATAACTCAGTGGATGAGGAAACAGAGCTGAGTCTAAAACACCAGTGAGGCAAATGGTGCTTCTTAAAGAGCTACTGATGATGAAAATGTTTTGCATAATGGCCCATTCTTCACGTGGTATTCATATAAATATTTTACATTTATTTTTATAGGAAAATAACTCTGCACATAATGAACAGAATCCCCAAATGCCATCTCTGACTGACGGCCCATCATTCACCCTTAAGAGACAAAGTTCTTCAACATTCCAAAGCTCTGACCCAGAACAGATCCGACAGAGTCTGCTGACTGCAATTCGTTCTGGAGAGGCTGCTGCCAAGTTGAAAAGGGTAAGTTTTCTTTATCAGATGGGTGACAGTGGGTTTATTTTCAACATTGTCAAACTCATACTTAGGGGAAATTGTTTTCTGGCTTTTAAGTCTGAATAGGGAAGATGCCAGAAGTTACTCTTTTATGTCAGGGGTCATTTTTGAAGTATAAGCTGAGAGAGTACTTAAAAATATGTCAGGTCTGTTTTCCAAAACATGGGCCAGGTGCAGAACACTAGTTTTGCTCATTATTATATATCTATATATAGAAAGTGCCTTGGACTCTTATTTTTTAAAAATTGTGTTAGCACAGCAAGCAAGAGTCTTTTGGAAAGAAAGTCCCTCCTTTATTCCAGAAAAGCTGCACTGTTGTAGGATCCTGCAAGTTTTCAGTCATCGCCCCTACAGTAATCAGTTACTACCATACGTGGGATTGGGTGGTTGGGCGGGGGGAGGAGTTTTATAGGCTAAACCAAAATAATGTAGGGAAAATCTAGAGAATTTAGATGAGACCTAATGCAGAAATTCCAATCTTAATAATGCCCTGCCAGAGTCTAGCTTCTCCTGGATGTAGGAGAGCAAGGAGGTGTGCCCCCTTTCATGGGCAAACACCAAAAAGCATCACAGGGAATTATGTGCAGATGAGTTTCCTCCCTTTGTTGCCTTCATCTTCTGAAAGAGGATGTGGTGCAGCCTTGAGCCTGGCATCCTCACTTGGACCTCCCAGAGGCTGTAGTTTCCCTAAATGTCTTTCTTGTTCTTCCCTTAGTCATCTTGGTTGCAAGTTCCTCAACACCCAAGACAAGTACTCATTATTTCACTGACTCCCTAGGCATTTCATTTTGTGAATTCCTTCTCTAATCATTTTAGAAGCTATTTAGAGAAGAGTAAGAGACTTGTTGAGCAAAACACTGAACTCAACAAAAGCGAAATCTGCCAAGGAACAGGAATGCTGCAAAGACAGAAAAAGGGGGAGGCATCCTCGCGTGTCTACACAGCCAGCCTTGCCTGTGTCAGCCAGCTTCCTGAATGGGTTTCACTGGAGCCCTGAGTGACCGCCGTTCCCACAGAGGACTTGGCGCTCACATCTGGGCACACGTGGTGACAAGGCAAAATATTGTGTGCTGTCAGGAGTGAAGGAAACATGAAGGAATAATTCAGGGGAGTAGGTTTGAATTTTGTAGATTATTTGTAGAGTTTAAATTAAGGTGCCAGGCAGCAAAAAAACAAAAGAAACCAAAAGGAATATTGAAATTGGTATTTCACAGGTCATGATGTCTATATTTTGTGTGTGGGGGGAATATGTCCCTGTAAATAAACTGTACATTCTTATTTATGAAAATAATTCTATTTCTAATTCTGTTTCTAATCTTGTAAATTAAGGATGAGTTTCAAAGTTCTCAATTCAATAAATTTGATAAATATTTTTTTAAAGCAGAAAAATACCAAACATTGTACTAGATACTCTGGGGATACAAAATTGAATAAAATGAAGCCTCTACCTTCTGGGTGTTCATAGCCTGGGACTGAGAAACAGTGGTACCTCAGGCTCATGGGAGAACAGAAAATAACCGCAGTGCCTTTGTACTAAGTCAGCGGATATATTAATCAGTTTCAGTAAACTAATTGCAGAAAACAGTGCATTAAGTTGGAAATGCCTTTTAGGCCAACAGAATTTTACAGGCAGGCAGCTGTATACTTCGTGTCTTACGGGCTCCGATTTGGCAGTCTCTTCACATATAAAATTCTCATTGCTTCCAGAATGAGCTGGATGTGAATCAACACGGAAAGCAGGCCCTAAATGATGATCCTATAATTGTATCCTGTTTATAACTCATTACTTTAGGTTCTATTGAGTCTAAATTCTCTCTCTCAGTAGGAGGTTACTGACAGCTCTGACTCCCTATAGTGTCAGCTCCTAAACTCTGTTTAATGAAAATTCCTTACATAATCCTTTTTCTTCCCTCTGAAGAAAGACACAGGGTCTAGTAGAGTTCATGATATCTACACTCCATGATCAGCACCTTCACTTCTACTTATATATGCTAAAAATATATACCAAGTATAAAATATATACCAAGTATATATACCAAGTATTTTATACCAAGTATAAAATATATACTTGGTGTTTTTATATACCAAGACTCAGAAGAACATTGTTTGTAATAGCTCCAAATACATATAACCTTAATATCCAAAAATCGTAGACTAGTGGTATATTCAAAGCATGGACTATCAAATGGCAATAAATTGGATAAAATACACACAACAGAACAATGTAGATAGAGACATAAAGAGATATGTAAAGTTGACAGCATGCAAAACTAGATTATATTATTCAGTGATGCATGCATAGGTGGCAATTATTTTTACAAGTGAGGAAGTAATTACAAAAGTCACGATAGGGTTACTTCCAGAGGGGAAGAAGCGGTGCTGTTGGGGGCGTATGAGAGCAAGACGGGCACACAATTTAAGAGGGAACTAAAAAAGTTATTAATCAAGAGAAATATTATCTTAATGCAATATTTAAAAATGTACAAATTAATGCAAAAATCCATGACAAAGTCAAAATTTTAAATAAAGATCAGTAGGGAGCTGGAGTAGGGAGTATTCTCTTGAGTGGTGGGCTACATATATGTCTGTGTTTGTTTTCATTGGGCTGTTCAGTGCACTTCTCTGTATGTGTATTATATTTCAAAAAATTGCAGAAGGTGGTAACAATGGACACAACAAGGCTCTAATTTCTTGTGATCTTTGCTTAAGTCCCATATTTCTGTCCTGTTCTGAACATTTCTTCTGGTTTGTTTTACATTCTAACCTTTCTTTTATAGAACAACAGTTATAGTGCCAAATAAAATCTCCAGTGATTTTGACAGTGGGTTTAGATTGTTCATCAGAAAGTTGGCTCCGTGTTTGCCTGTATTTTGGCACCCAAATGTTCACTTTTACTCCAGGTACCAACCTGCCTTATGGCTCTTGTTCATACTTGAGCAATTAACCTTCATTAAGTAGTTGGTTCACATTAGAACAATTATCTAGTTGATTGCTCTAGTGTAAATGTAGTCGTGAATTTTCATGTTTCCTAAGGCTTTTTTCCCATGCCTTACCCCCAAGTCAACCCACATATAGTCAAAGCGATTTGTCTTGTCTTCATATAAAGCATTAATAAATCTAGCACAGTATTTTATAAAATGTGTTTGATGTTAAGATGTATGTATGACAGCAAATTGTTTTCAGAGAGTAAGAGATTAAGTCATCTATTATCATTGACTTGTGTTGACATAAGAACTTCTTTGGCTGCTTTTGGTTCTTGTTGGTGCTCGACTTACTAAGGTTATTACACTATTATAAGGAGAATATAGGTTTGTAAATACAAAAGTCTGAAAATAAACTGATGAATGATATTTAGTGCTTGGTAGTAAGTGTTTCCTCAGAAAATAAAACTTATCGTTAGCTAGATAGAAATCTGGAGGGAAGAGAAAACCTGGATAAGTCACCCAGGATCTTCCTGGCTTATTTTGTTGAATTAGTCTGCTTTTTATTCATATTTCCTTGGTTTGAATTTGAACAGTCCAAGTGTTTCAGGTTGGCAGCTCTTTCCATGTATTTTAAAAGTAAAAATAAATGATGGTTTCATAGTAAGAAAGCTATGTGAATATTCCTGAAAATTTCTTGAACTTCAAGGGTAGACAGTCAACTAGTAGATGCTTACATCAGTAAATTCTTAAAGTTACTTTTTAAAGATATCTTTATTACTAGTGTCCTGTGGTCACTGTTCAAAAAATTCAGGCAATACTTTTATACTTCATAAATGTTTGTAAAAAGTTACCATATTTCATCTAAGAAATAGTCATCGAGTTACACTGACCAGGCACTAAAATAACTGTGAGTGTGAAGTAGGTATGAAAATAGACAAGGTCTCTGACCTCAAAAAATTCATAGAATAGTATTCTAATGATACCTTCTCATGTTTGAAGTTTTTAAGTAAACAAATTTTTAAATAACAAAATACCATTTTCCCCCAGAGTAACTGCTCTGGATAGAGTACAGTGTAACCTTTCAGACCACTTTTGTCATATATAAACATTTATTTTTTCTAACAAAAATGGAATCCTCTGTAAAACACTGTTAAATATATGTCTATCTCTTGAAGCTTTCCCTTTTGTTACATACATATCTATGCTGTTCTTTTAAGACTAGTATCTTTTAAGTAGTATTTGGAATTCCCTGGTTGTCCAGTGGTTAGGACTCTGAGCTCTCACTGCCAAAGGCCCATGTTCAATCCCTGGTCAGGGAACTAAGATCCCACAAGTTGCGTGGCATGGCCAAAAAAAAAAAAAAAAAAAAAAAAAA